AGGTACAATGGGGCTAATTCGAAGTACAAAAGTGGCGCCTCACCGGAACCGAGGGATAAACCACCATCGTATTACAGTACTGCCTTGTACCTATCTTAAAAAAAATGTATATAAATTTAAAAGGGTTTGTAGCAAACCTGCTCCAACGAACAAAAGATTAGATAATACGATAATCACAGTCTTATGTTGGAAACGAAATCTGGGAAAAGAGATAAATTACTGAGATAAATTACTTCTATTCCAAAAATGATGTTTGGAAAGGACTGGATTGCTTTGTTGGTAAGGGAAAGCATGTATTTTCAAGAGTTCGTTCTTATGCTTTGTGATGAATATAAAAGTTGGGCTACCCGGACGAAAAACATTTGCAACGAATATTCGAATCTGTAGTGGTTGGCTTTTAAGCCCTGCACTTTGTTTAAATGTAGATCTTGGACACAAAGTAACCAGCACACATCAGCCTTGTAACGAAACCGAAGTAAACGTTTAAAAAGAAGCGTTTTCACTTAATCAGTTTCAATTTTTTGAGGAAAGCCGAGGTTGTAGAGACAAACGCATAGCCTATCCCACTCTTTTGCGTTGTAGATATCGTATCCTCTTAAAAAAATAACCAAAATGTTTAAGTGTAATGCTATGGTTGATTGCCTCTCGGTATTATCGAGGAGCAACTTTTGACTTGGCCTTTGTGCCACACCAAATGGGCCGACCTTCGGGCCACGCTGGTAGCCCAAATGCCTTCTCTGTGCCGAATATGCATATTATGTCCTTTTTGTCTTCAGAGTAGTCGTCGGACGCTACTTTAGTGACAGGGGAAAGCAAACCCAATCCTAAAGGACACCTATCCTGATTCTCACTACTTCGTGGTTAACTTTAGCGGAGCGGAAGAAGCACATATGCTACGGATGGGAGAATGGTGATGACCTCAAACAGAAAGGCTGAAATTAACGTCTACCTTCAGCATCTACTTTGGTTCCACATTCTGTAGGAAAGCTATTAACAACTGAAGTGACACCAGTCGGGAATAATCTAGAGGTTTTGTTACAGAATTCCTTATCGCGCCTGCACAAAGCTATTGAATATACAAATTCGTTGTACCTCCTCCATTCCTCTACTAGCTGAGTTAAATTTAGATAGATACGACTGGGCGGCTCCAAAGTGGAAACAACAAGGCAAGGAGAAATACGCGCGAAACCCTTCCTTTTTGGGCCAGTGTTCCTATGCCTGCCTATGGATACGCATGATGGCCAGCACAATTCCCCGTTCCGAAATCCACTTCCCAATGAGGATAAAATTGTAGATTTAGTTGTAATTGCCAAGAGAGATCAGTGACAGTGCGATCATATGTCTTAACCGCACGCTAATTTGATGAGTTGCACGACCGGACCGTGGGTGTTTCCTCGATGCACCGACTACGTTTTGATGGCTGACCCTGGAGGTTGGCCAAGGGAAACGCTGGGGACGACGCTCAAAAGAGGGGAGGAGCTATGTAATGCGATGGTTGTCTACCTCTCGGTCTCGGTCAAAAGCGGCTTTTGGCTTTGCCTTTGCACCACGCCAAATGGGCTAGCCTTCTGGCCTTGCAAGTAGCCTAAATGCCTTCTCTCTGCCGAATGTATGCGTCTCGCCCGAGTATTATGTCCTCTTTTGTCTTTAAAAAGCCTTGAGATGTTACGCAAGCACTGAGGAGCAGGTTTTTGGCATATAATACTATGAGCAGGGTCATGGTGAGCAAAGTAGGGGAAAGTAATTTATGCAAAGGCAAAGGTGTGCATTCCCAGGTCGCCTTTGATGAATTGACCTGTAAGCTTGCTTTCCTTTAAGCAAATTTAATAATGGAGTATGGTTATGGTGCACTAATTATCATATTAATTCTGGTGTCTCATTGATTTATCTATCAGGAATGTTAGTAATAGGAGTGTACTCTGCAAATCCAGCCTAGAACAGTTTAGTAAAACTAAAATAATGACGCGTTGATGTAAATTTTTTTGAAAACTAAGCTCTTTTTGAACTGTATTAGAGGGGGATTAAGAGTAGTAGTTGATTCTTCGACCTTGCCGGGCGCTTTTGATTGGTTGGGGAGAAGTTGGTGAAATCTCCTATTTTGCAGTAGATTTTGGCGGGATGTTGGCCCTTGTGGTTTTGGTCTTCTCTCTCCCCTTCATTATTGCTATAGGCAAGCATCGATCTTTTTATTGTTTAACTTTGTTTATCTTTTCGTCCCCTTTTTTGCCTGTCAAACAGAGTGTACTCTATGTTCGTCCTAGTTTCATTTTAAATAATTGAACGTGTAGTCTGGTTTCGACTTCTCATTTTTTGTTTTTTTTTTCAAATATGCTAATATGGTCTGATGTTGTAGATCCTCCGCCATGTGACGGACATATCAAAGTAAAGTCTGTTCCTATGATGAAAGGTGGTGTATCATATGTCAAACTGGCAGTTGACAACAACGAACCTATTGAAGTACACTTCTCCGTGGACCCTTTGCTTGAAATCGACAAAATAAAATGGACTTTAAATAAAAATCCCATTGACGTGGACCAAGACGAACCTAAATCCGCCGTTTACTGGAAACGCGACCCACTTGGGATCGTTCTCGTCATCCGCTATCCCAGTAAGTTGTAGGCATTCAAAACATGTACTAAGACGTTTTTTCCCAGGTGTTCTGAGATGTTTCGTATTTTATCTCCTTTAGAGCAACAGTTCATTGGAAATTGGCAGATGGAAATTCTTGACATGAACGAAGCGTCTTCAAAGCAATCTTGTCAACTGCAGTGTAAGTTGTTTTTCTCCAATTCGCTTTTTCACAATGGATTGTTTTAATGTTTTAGCTGTGAAGTAATTTCTTTGGTTGATATTCCAATTTTTAAATATTTGGCTTCATCCACTGCACTCCGTCTATTGTTTTGTGCAGGAAGACTGCCATCACGCAAGATAAATACGAATTCTCACAATTGCTAATCTGTGGAGATGTCTTTCTACTAGTTCACAAATGAGCCATTAAATTAGCTCAGTCCTACATTGAATCAGAAGTTCGTTTTATTTTCCCGTGAATCATTTTATTACACGAAGAGTGCTGTATTTCGTAGGTGTGAGGTTTTGTGTAACTTGAAAGAGTTAAATATGCTTACTGCCGTCTTCTACTGCATAGTTGCTTTCAACCCGTTTCACCATTACGTAAGCTTCACCTTGGTTCAAGTAAATAACTTGTTTTTCGATAGGAGTTGGTTAAGTTTCCTCCCATAGAGGAACTGCTTACCTAAACCACTGTCCAACATGCTGCCCTGTTTAATACTGGACACTTACCAGATAAGCAAACTTTGTTCGTCCTTTTATGCTCGGGGTTTTTGTAGAACTCGCTGCTTGAGAATAGATGTTTTCGATGACGCAAAGGAGAATCTAATGTCAAAATCTAGACCTTTTATTGCTCTATTTTGATTTCGACACACACTACCAAGTCGATGGAGGAAGTTTCATGCCCATCTCGGTACTTTAAACTCAACCAACCTACCTTCTATTCTGCTTTGTACAGTTACTTTCCGTCACGTATGCGTGACGTCGGTCTCAAGTGTGAAAATTGAGGCGAACGTGTCAAGAGCCAATATGATCAATGGCACAATTTGTTGTCGAGGCTTGTCGAATTACAAACAACAATTATGACATTTCGTACTGAATAAAGCCCTCACAAGATGTGAAGCATGTGACTGCGAATGAACTTAACAGCGGAAGTTATCACCATTTTTACTTCAGCTCAGCTCTCCCACGTACCTTAGCTATTTATGGCCGTGGTGGGCTTTGAGGTGTCGCATTGTCTCGTCCCACGATGATACTCCCCGTTATAAAATAGTGTGCAGTGACCTTTGTTTGGTGAAGTTTTGTCTATAACTTTGTAGGGTTAAAGTACAACTCTGGTGTGCGCATTTTCCACCTTCCTTGATCATGGCCGATTGCAACTTCTTATACCTTTTTAACCAGGGTGAAACTTCTTACAAGAGACCCTCAATCCCATACTTTACTAATGTTTACGGTTGTCTAGGTTACTGGATTTTTTCCGCTATGGATTTCCTATTCGTAATTAGCACGGAGCGTTATCTTCAGCCTCATGAAAATTTGACACGACAGCGACTATTTTGCCGAAGATAATAATCTTAAAGCTGCTATTGTGTTAAGTGACCATCGTGCGAAGAATAAAAAACGTGCAAGAAGAACTTTGCGGGTATATCGTGGCGTTTTATTTGCGCTATTTCAGCGTCATTTTGAAGATGTGTTGTCCTCACCTCAGTGAGCCATGACTACTAACTCTAAATGACGTCAACGTACAAACTGAGGCGGTCATTGTGAGTTTTGAGACGAGGTAATATCGCTCGATCCAGTACTTCAATCGGGTTTATTGCCTCCATCGTTAGAGTTAGTCTTAAGGCGGAACTTTGATTGGTCAAATTCGTCTTGAAAGATGGACATCAAAACTCATATTCGAAATGACAGTAATTACTCATGGAGACTAGGATTTTAAGGGGTTGACGCCTCCATTGGAGCTGAAATCTCACTTCACAAACGGTGATGTAATGTAAGCATTGATGCTGGCGGCAGCTTTTGTTTTTCACCCCCTCTCATTCTTCTCATTTTTAGCACCTCCGATGGTCCAGCGCTTCATCGAGTCATTCCGCTCTACGGAGGGTTACGAGTTGAGCGTGGTCTGCAAGAGTGGCAGTCTGCCCTATCCCTCTAGGGTTCAATGGTTCCGTGCCGAAGGAACCGGGGATTCTGCAGTCTTGCTCCCCATTTACGTGAGTTTGAGAGGTGTCTAAAATTGCTCAGCAGCTTTTCACTTTCCTATCATCGTTCGAAGTACACTTGAATAAGTTTTTGATCGTTACAAGTATACGTGGACGTGTTAGACTTGCCAAAATTCATAGCGGACACTTTCCTGACTGTTTAAAGCATATTTTGATGTATTTGTAACTCTTGAACACACGACTGGATGGGTTTTTAGGTATTAAAAGAAGATGGTAACTTGCCAGCGGCTGTTTTAGTTCGCTTAGTTAGGTGTTGGAAGTGTTCATCAACGCTGTATTAGAGTTTTTTGAGGTACTGGAATTGTCAGCGGTGACTGCGGATGTTCTTATGACTGTTAAAGGTGCGTTTAGACGGATTCGTGGCTGTTAAAAGCGATCATGGGTGTGCCTGTGCCTATTGGAAGGATTTTATGGAGGCATTACATCTTTGAAATTCAATGCAGACTCACTTTTAGCTGTCATGAATACACTTGGAAGCGTTTAATTCTTATTTGAGGCCTTCTGGACTCCTCCTTTTGGCGGCGAATCTTTTTAAACCTCGTCTTTTTCCCTTCTTTCCTGATCTACAGGACGTCCAAACGACCCATATCCCTGGCGATACCCTCCTCTTCAAGGAGGCCAAAATGAGCGATACCGGCGTCTATCTCTGCAACACTACTGTCACTCCCGAAGGACTCTTTGATTCCTCTGCAGCTGAGGTTAAAATCAAAAGTGAGCTTCATTTTCCCCTCCATTCATACATTCCTTGGAACATGCCTTTATTTATGCATTTAGTCTATCAGTGGTCTGGGTTCTGGTAACTTATTTTTTCATTCTCCTTTCCATCTTTGCGGTAAATCAGTGGTTCAAATAGATTTCTGCCTATAAAAATACCATAGATGCAAGGGACGTTAAGGTGGAGGCAGGGCTTTTAAGTTTAAGTGAGGACCAATTTCTAAGGCGTGAAAATTGCACCCTTTGTTTCCCCACGTATTCTTCTACTGGCACATATAGCGTAGTAAGGTTGTCCAGCGCGGCCGAACCATCCTGGGACTGTTTGCTTCGTCTCGTCATCGGCCCTCGGTACTTAGGCTTAGTCACGTGTGATGCTGTGATACGGAAAATCCCCGTCTCCCCTGTCAAAGCACTCCTTCAAGTCCTCCGTGCTAGTCAAAAACGGAAAGCCGTCTTTTTGCTTGCCATTCTTAATTAACGGTTTCTCAACTGCCTCGTAGCATGCGCGTCGGGTGTTGGTGTGTTTGGAATTCCAAGGCCTTGTCTGACTTCTATGCTACTCACCCAGATGGTTTTTTTCCTTTTCTTCATTCCGTGCTGTTAATCTTAACGTCGTTTGAATAGTCAGTCATTGGGGTTCCTGCGGTTCCGAATGTCGATCGGTTTCTGTGACCCCATTTATCATTCCTGTCTGGTCTTCTGTGCATACACTTGACGTTGGTGGTTATCCTGCAAGAGGTTTTGTCCATGTTAATCGTCTGGGCATTTAATCGTGTATCCATTCGACAATCACCAGTTTTTTTTTTCATCCATTATTTCGTCCTTCTAATCACTGACCTGGACATACAGCTATCACGTGCATTCAGCCTCATTCCACTACCCCATCCCTCCCACAGCTTCTCAATTGACTAACGAATACCGCGCCTACTTTGTCACGCATTTTTGTCTTTCTACCCATCTTAGCATCGTCATATTTTCCATCCGTCTATTCATTATTTAAATTGAGTATCCCTCCAACACCTCCCACATTCATAAGGTCGTCCGCTTGGCGGCCAAATCTAAATACCTCCTTAAGGAGGTGAATAAAGTGTCTAGCCAGTTGCATGTCCACCTAGTCATCCCCTTAGGCAACTAAGCATTTGAATTCGTTGAAGACACGGCATCGACGGGTTACTCCACGAGAGAGACTGCCTCACTATTTGGAGGATCTGCGCTATTTCTGATAATGAAGAATTATGTCTCACCATTGCCGCGTCGATGTAAGATCAGCAGACACGCAAAGAACCACTTTTAGTGGCGTTTGGCATGAATGGTGAAACAATCCGGTTGTATCTACGTGGAGTGAGAGAGGAAAGGCTTGAAGGCCACGTCTACATGTGAAATGGTTGCCACATGCATTAGTGGATGGCAATGCGCTCCACAACTTATCCATTCCCCCATCTGAATGTACATGCTGACTGAAATATGATGCGAAGTGGCTTTCACATCGCAGCATTCCTTCTTCAGGCAGTGAAAATGTCATTGGGTGTCCTCAGATGACCTACTCACTACTCATCGTCTACACATCGCACATATCGGCTTCTGTGCGCACCACATCGTCTCCAAATGACCCTATCTTGAGTGTGATGAACTCCAGGTGGAGGGATTCACTTTGACTTGTTCAAATGTTGAAAGGCAAACAATTACGTCTGAGGCCAGTCCACTTGGTAGGACTTGAGTGTGGGCAAGAAAAGCCTCTCAGGGAGCAGTCAGGAGTGGTGAATCGGGGAGAAGAATGCCGAGGCGACGCAATTCCTCATGTCACTGTGAAAGCTGGCCACACACAAAGCAGAATGAAAGGGTAGGAAGTGAAAGGTGGTTGTGACTGTGACTTCCAGCGACACTGCAATTTCCACCATGTAAGTAGTTGGCAGTCCAGTGTCTCGTTGGGAAGGAAGGCACTACGGAGCACAGCAACTCGTGACTCTCCGAACGCGGCAAATACTATGGAGACTTTTGAAAACGTGTGTACTGTTTCCTCCACTTTCTTCCCTCACATTAAAGGAGACTGGCGGCATTCATGCATTATTCTTCACAACCTATTCATTTCCTCCGTGCGTTCAACATTAGGGCGGAACCTTTATCAACTTCCCTTGTCGTGGGTCTCTTCCTTCGTTTCTCGCCCGTTTTTTGACTTCCATTCAACTCCTCCTAGGGTCTCACTTTTTTGTCGAGAATAATCACCCTGTCCTCATCGGATAGTTAAAATTGGCAGTGGCAAGGTGAGAGTAAACAAGACGGCTTGTTTAATCCCTATTTTAAGGTCACGAATGACGTCCAGCCCACTTGATTTGCGTCTTAGGCTACCCTGGTTGCTGGGTGTGTGCGCAAACTGCTTAGCCTTATTGGGATGGAAAAGCTGTAATCACTTATCCCTTCATTTCACCTAGTTTTTCCATCTGACAGTCATCTATTCTGAGAGCCTCATTCAAATTCGCCTTTTTCACCTGTCAATCCTTGCTAGGCGGAGGGATGGAATTTTCTTCACTTCTATCCAGCCATCCATTCCCTATCCATCTATCTCTCCATCCCGTACCCGTCCATCCACTTCCATATCTGTCAGACCATTCCGTATCCATCCGTCCGTCTCCCATTCATCCATTCCGCATCCATCTACTCATTCATCTCCCCATCCCTTTTCCACCAACTTATTTTTTTTCCAGTTTATCGCAGATTCCTCTCAGTTTCTAGTTTTCTCCGCATCTATCTCAGTGTTCCAATCAGTCTCCATCCGTTCTCATACATTTCCCACCCATTGTCTTCTCTGTGAGTGGTGAGTTCTGGTATTTCTGTTGTTTCGGAAATTTCCACTTTGGTACGCCTTTCTCTAGTACATTCTTGGCTTAGTCATTCTTCTTTTGTTGGAGAAAAGTAGATTATTTTCCGGTAAAACCATAAGCCACAGGATATACGTCTCTTCTGAGTCCCAGCTCAGAGCATTGCGGTCGTAGTAGAAAGGGTGATCAAAGGGGCTAGCTGATTCACTTGCTCTTTTAACGTCACCAATGTCGCTCCTCTCGTCTCTTCTGCCTTCAAAATGTTATGCGTTTCTTAGGGTGTATTTTATTGCGCTTTCCAATCCCGGTAATCGCTTGTTAGTCATTCATCTGGCTCTTCCTTCCTCCATTCATTCTCCCTTCTAAAAGTTGCTTGGATCACGTCTTAGTTCCCATCCACCCCCCTCTTCTTTGATGTGTTTACCTAACCATTCATCCTATGGGGAGTGTTCGAGTCAATGTCAAGACTTTACTGCCTGCCGGACACGGTCCTTAACCAAGTTTATAAGTACATCTTTCCAGGGTTTAGCTAATGCTCAAAAAGGCAGCCTTAGTACGGAAGTCCTTGTCAATACGGCTCAACCCTTTTTGGAGGAGCCTGCTTCACTTGCATCGAAGCGTTTACCTTCTCTACATTCAAGATTGCGTCCCTTGTGGATCTTCATCACAGACTGGAATGTGTTAAAAGTTTACAGCCGTGGCGGCTGAGCTTTTGGGCTGGGGTTGTCACTGGCATCCGTATCGACGGCCAATTTTAAGGTGTCTAAATTGTCACTACGCTGTTCCGTGCACGCACATCCGCACTACCACTGCTGTCAACCGTCTGGACTAACGGGTACGGGTAATACTCGTAGGAAGAACCTGCCACCTACTGCTGTGCGTAGTCCCATCGCGGTAGTCAGGGCTGTGCTCTTCTGGAGGCTTTCACTACACGCCCCGGCTGATAACCTTCGTAAATGGTCCACCTACTCCAAGTTAAGGCGTTTTTTCGTCATCGTCTTCGTGGTTCATTGTGCGGAAGGGGAACTGATAGTCAACCAGTATTCAGTCACTTCATCTGTGCACCTAAATTCTGACTTTCACATGGCAGCCTTGTTACTTTTTCAACGCATTTCACATGCTCAGTATCAGTGTCACGTATATGTGACACCCAGATTTTCTTGCCGAAGCCTTATTGTAACTGGTCGCACTAGATCGTGTGTTGAAACTAGGCAAAGTAGATCCAAAAACAATGGGGTGGATTTCGAATATTCTTGGTCAGAATGAGGATAATTCGCTTCTTCGATAGTTTTTCGGTAATGTAGTGTAGTGGTCCACTACTGGCCAAAGTGCTAAGGAGGAGAGCTACAAAGTACACACCCTCCAAGCCCTACTCAGCAGCATTTATAACATTGACAAATGCAAAGGCAGACTGGCCAAGGGGCGAATAAGGCGGCTTGTAACTCGATCAGCCAAACTTCCGCTCACTCTGTTAGGTTCTGCATTGCAAAACGTGGTTAAGACAAGAATGTCTTAACCGTTTCCTCTCGCTCTTCGTGTGTGTGTGTGTTTGCGCATTTGCGTGTGTGTATGTGTGACTGCATGCAAGAACAGGCATGTGTGGGTTTTCCAATTTGCATGTTGGCACACGAGAGCTCAAATTCACTGCATATTGTCGTTGTATGCAAATCGATTGCTCCGTGCCTTCGGGTTCTTTTGAGCTGTCTAAACTTGCTTCTTTCATGATCAGGTAGAGGAGAAGTAAGTGGTGAGGTGATCGACTCTAGTTGTGTGTTTGAGCCAGGGTGGTTCATACTTAATTCCCTTTCAGTAGTTGGACCTGACACACGTATTGAGCTCGAGGCCATCGTGAATCAATGACCCTGATCGTGGATGTAGCTGTAGCGCCTCGAGACTTGTCGGAAGACGAAAGAGAACGTAGTGATTGGGCAGAATATGGGTTGTGGACGTGCAGCACGTCTTGGGGGCCTGGAGGCTAGGTCGCCCGTCGGAGGTACAATGGCTGAGCACTTATGCGGCCCGTTACCAGAACTGAGAGTTAAGCAAACACCCAAGGTTGTCATAGCCCTTCTCTCCGTTTAAAGTGTCGTCTCCGGCGCTTCCCTTGGTCACAAAGTAATCTGTGCTGTTATAAAAACACTCACGCACCAACCACGGCAGTTGTCGAATCTCCATGCCACTGGGAGGATACTTTATCACAAGGTCACTGATCACCCTTGGCAATTTCACTGGATCTGGACTTTCGTCCTGTGTGGGAATTGTATTGGGGGGCGAGGGGATGTGCCGGTCATCACTAGTGGTAGGAACACTGGCCTCAGTGTAAAGTCACATAACAAAAGACTTGGTTTGACCCAGTCCCATGTCTATTCTTCCTTGTCACCTTTTTCCCATGTCAGTGCTGCTTAGTCATATCGTACTGAGTTCCGTCCAGTTAGTAGAGAGCTGGAAGAGATATTGCGTGTTCGCATAATTGTTGTCTTCATACAGGCACGGTGGACAGCTCGGTAACGAAACTTCTCCAGATGGTTCACGGCTAGTGTTGCTTTCGTTGTTACTAGCTTTCCTGCAGACCACGGGACTGGGTTGGTTCCCAAAGAGCGGCGTTACTTTCAGCCCTTCTGTTAGGGGTCGTCACGAGTTCTCCCATCCGCAGCGCATGCAATTCTCCCACCCTGTAGTAGAAATCGGGGTAGTTGTCCTTCGGGATGGGGTTTGCTTTTCTCTGTCACCAGTGTAATGCCCTGAGGCCTCTCTGAAGCCGAAAGAAGAGGCTACATTCGGACAGAAGACGTATTGTCGACGTACAGAATTCGCCCGTGGGGCTAGTGGCATGACCTAGAGGCTACGCCGCTTGGAGGAGGAACAATGGCGGAGCCCCAAATTGGTCTACGACCTAAACCGAGGGTTAAACAATTAACGGATTTGGGGTAGCTGGCTGGATGTTATAGGCGCTTTGCATGTAGTCACATCAGTACGACCAATTCAAGCTTCTAAATCTGCGCTTAGAGTATGTTCTTGGCCAGGAGAGAACTTTATTTCCCATCCTGAACACCCAGCCTGTACTTTGAATGCATGCACCTCCCCACATCACGACAGGACTCAATTCCTTCCTCTTTGATGTGGCCTCGCGGCCACTTTCACTCAAAGAAGCGATAATTTTTAGGCTCGATGGCAAGCACAGCTGCCCTACCAAGCAGAAGTAGTCACATGATACACCCAGACACGACTAACCACTCCTTTCACTTTTACTGGTTTTAACAACAAAAATTAAAATGTGAGTGTCTTTTAAAGCTATTTCACATATGCAAGAATCACTACTTTGAGAGGGGGGGTGTGAGAATCCGTTTCTTCTCATGAAATTCCACCCCTACTTTTTTGTTCGGCTGGTGACTCCTCAAAAGTTACTGCTTCAAGTCCCATCTTTTGTTAGATTTATGCTTCCGATATGGGCAATTTCCAGGCTCTAACATATAGCCACACCTCATCTTGTTCTCCCATTTGAACCCTACCTCTTGGGGTTATAAAATCCCCCCCTCCGCCCTCCTCTCCCCTCCCTTCCTCCCAGGTACAGCCATCTGTCAATACTTTCCAACTCCCTGATCGTAAAATGTGAGGAATAGATTGCACCTTGTTTTACACCCTCTCCTTTCTTCAATGCTCTCGTAAAAGATTCTCCTCTCTCAGACAGAGGAAGCCTGGTGGTTGAATTAGACTGTCAATTGTTGTATTGCCTGTTTAAAGTGGTCATTAAAACCTACTTCTGCTTCCGGTATTTGACATGCAAACCAATTCTACTCGAATCAAAGTTGACTGCAACTTTTATGGTCAGTAAGTGTTACCATCGTGAGCTTGGATCCTGTCTGTTAAACTTCGAACTGGCGAAATCAACAGGCAGGGCTTCCATCCAGATGTCTTTATTCACCAGTGGGTACGAGTATGCACGGAGGGGAGGGGGGCTTGGATGACAGCCGACTGATCCCGGAGTCACTCGGCGGTGGTTTCGGTCTCGCCTATTTATAGCATTCGACTAACCCTGGGCTTATTATTGAGTATCCATGTCCATCGATACGTGATATCAGCCAACCAGGAGGGAATGGGGGTTGTGGCAAAGTTCTAGCACATTCGGGTGGAAGCGGGAACGTATTTTGGGCTCGCAGGTTGGAAATTTCGTGTCTTACTGCCTGGGAGGCAGTCTATGTGACGGTCTAAGTGGAACAGAAACAATCTGTTAGGGTAGCGGTGTTACTGCGACCCTCATTTGTGCTTCGTGCGTGTAAATCACACTTTTCAAGGTTACTTAAGAACTAACTCTCTCTCTCTCTCATTTTGCTCATTTTTATGATGCAGTAGCACCCTTGTCTGAAGTTATGACTCAATTCCACCCCTGATTAAGGGTATGATTTTGGATGAGCACACTCACAAATGATGTACATACATCTCACTCCCCTCTATTGTTGTTTTTAGTTCATTTAACGATGATTTCTTAACAGCGCTGCTTTTTGTGCCTACAATCTTCAGTCTGTAGACTACAGACTCAATGAAATGTAAATTAAAGTTTTCCCAATACCAAGGGTTCACCATTTATCCAATCACACTCTTTCTTCCCTCCTCAAGGTCGTTTTGCTGCTCTCTGGCCGTTTATTGGCATTTTGGCGGAGTTGATAATCCTCCTCATCACCATTATCCTCTACGAGCGTCACAAAGCGGCTAGGAGGAAGGCGGCCGAGGCGCAGAACCACTCTCTCAGCACTCCCGTCTCACCCAGTGGGGACACCAAACCTCAACAGAGGTACCGCCCGCCTCCTCTTCTCTTACTGGCTTTTCACTCCGGGCTGCGCTCCTATTGATTGCGACGAATTTAAAGGGCTTGTTTAAATTTTTGCAGATATATAGAGAGGCTTTTTTGTTATTTAGGAGGCAGATATGGAGTTGGATGAACAGAATTTAGGTAATTTAAATGGCTGAAGAAGGTATTCTTTTTCTCACTGTATAGGTTTTGGAGCTTCATTACACTGACCTAAACTTGTTTTAAGGGTTTGTTTAATTGTTTCGCGGTTGAGAGAGACTATAATATATCATTTCGTCTAGTTTTAATTGTTCAAAATCTTATGATTTGAAAGCGTCCTTCCGCCTCCCCTTTCTATTGGTTCTTTTTCTACGGTGCATTTCTATTGGTCCACACTCACTTGGGCAGTTTGCTAGCCTGTTTGGGAGAGTTTTTGCGACTTTAAAATATTGAAAATTACTTTTCCCTTGGTTTCAAATTGGCGATTCTCCAAGACACACCCCCAATGATTCAGATTCATAGCGATGAAGCATAATCTAAATACTTAAACCCCTAGGACTCCTTAAGTAGTATTTGAGGGAATCCAATTTTTGACAACTGCGAAATGATTCTTTGCCTATACATTGAAGTTTAAATTCTTTGCTATAGAAGGGGGGATTTGGTAAGAGGAGCTAAAAACGACATTCTGGGGCTTTTTCGACCTCAAAATGGTGCTTAATTTCTCCCATTAGCCCTTCTCAATGGCCTGTTCCAAATTAATCCAAGCCTACCTACGGCCATCTTATTCTGCAAGAACTGAACTGCTTGAGCGATCGGGTTTCCGCAAGTAGAATTTAAACCCTGCAAAGATTTACAGTTGAAAGTACCTTTAAAATCGGTTGGCGATTCACACAAAAAAGCACGCAATTAGCATGGTGAAGCCAGAAGTTGGCTGCATTTTTCCCTCCATAAATTACAAGAAAAAGGAAACTTGGGTTAAAATTGCGGGATCGTAGGAAGTGAGGCCATAAATTGACGTCCGCTTCAAGTACTTTCCTATTGGTTGCTCTCCTTAGGTCACCATTCTGTGTTAAATTAAATATTTCCGAACACGCGAAATTTCATAATGCATCTGAATAGTTGCTGGGCTCTTGACGTTAACGATCTCTTTTAAATTAGCTATTGGTCTTATTTTCCCTTTAAAGACAACATTTCACTGTGTGACGAGTCTTATTTCCACAACATGGATCGAAGAAAACTTTGTGGAAATGGCTCATGCTATTTGCTTGATGACTTGAACTTTAGGCACGCGAAGGAAGTAAAAAAGTCGATTAACTTGCCCCACGTCTAAAGTTCAACTGCTTTTATGACATCCTTTGAGGAGAAGACATTATTTACCGGCTGAGCTATACCCTTTCTATTTATAATCGCATCGAACCCAGGCGAACGAATGTTTAATCACATTACACACATTGTGGTCCCATTTCCACTCTTCAAACTGCCCCACTAGATAC